TGTGTTTATTACAGCGTCATACATTGGTAAGGGCTGTTTGAGGGACGACCCAAACCTAAACGAATGCGTTGTGCGTAAAGGAGCTCCTGTAATCGATCGTATAGTCAAAGGTGACCCAAAGTACCGGATACCGAAGTTAGATCCTTTAGTCATACCAGAGTTGACGATTAATCAGGGTACCAAACAAGTGGGTTTGACAATGTCATGCAAAAACTGCGAGCTGCACGGCCTAAAAGAAACGCGATTCGTTAGAGCCAGGTATGAAAACAACGTTATAATAGTTTTAAATTATACATTTATGTTACCTCACTATAGACTTTTGTGTAGTTTTAAGGAAACTAACATTTTATTAATTATAATCATTTATACTTCACAATGACCATTGGTTGAATGGGGGAGGACTGAGCTACTCTTTATTTTTTCTTCAAATTATAGTGTACCCCTTTATTATATTCATCAAGGAATAGGCGGGTTACTATTAAATAAATTTGCTTAGTTGTTAAAGTTCATTTAGAGTCCACCTTTATTTATTTTTCCAATTCAACCACTGCCATTTATTGACTAGGTACTTGTATAAAATACGTGTGAAATGTGGATTATATTTGAATGCGAAATAATCTGTAATAATGTCTCACATGTAAAAAATGCATAAATGCATTATGCAACTCATAATTATGTAGAAATAGCGGGCTTAAACATAAGTGAAACCGTAAATACATCAAATTAAACATAACAAAGGGGAGGGAATATATATAAGTAATGTGTTAAATCACTTTAAAGTTAAAATATTACACGTCCAAATGTAAGAATATTAAAAACGTTATCCTAATCACTCTGAGAAAATATGTGGTTAGGTAGGTACTTTATTAAAATAATCATCTTGTACCTATATGAAAATTATTGTACTTATATTATAGAGTGGACGAGAAAAAGAGACACGTTGAATGGGACTTTGAACTCGATCAATGTATGTTTTTGGGAAAATATTCGGTCTCAGGGCAAGTCCTGATATTGCCAATCAAAGGTGACGGAGATGCTAACATCACAGTCAGTAAGTACTGTATAAGAATTTGATTCATTATTTTAAAATTACGAGTCAATTACTATCCAAGTATTTTAATTACTCATTAGAGATTTTTATTACATTAAAAACAACCAAAAAATTTCACCAAAGCATATTATTATTATAAAATTATAATAGCTATGTATCAGTACCTATAATAATTGAGTCTATGAGGTCATGAGGTGTCAAATTAATAATAATAAATAAATTATTGTTATGCTATCATAGTCACTGACTAATAGATTTTCCAATACATATATAAAAAGAAAAACAACTATAAATAGTGCATTAATATTGAATCTAGTACAAACTTAATATAAATAATTAACAGATAACAACAATTAATACGTTTATTAGGTAACCGGAAAAAGTCCCACACTACAAAAAAGTCTCACAAAAAAAGTTTAGCAAACAATTTTCCGAAATACTTATCCTCTGTAGTTGTTTTATATTTGAATGTGTAATGTATAAAATAGTATACAAATCAATAATTCAACCAGCTTGAACATATGGTATCCAGTTATGGGGCTCT